GTCCTACAAACTACTAATAGGTCGCAGGAAGCTAGTCCTACAAACTACTAATAGGACGCAGGAAGCTAGTCCTACAAACTACTAATAGGACGCAGGAAGCTAGTCCTACAAACTACTAATAGGACGCAGGAAGCTAGTCCTACAAACTACTAATAGGTCGCAGGAAGCCAGTCCTACAAACTACTAATAGGAAGCAGGAAGCTAGTCCTAGAAACTATTAATAGGACGCAGGAAGCCAGTCCTACAAACTACTAATAGGAAGCAGGAAGCTAGTCCTAGAAACTACTAATAGGTCGCAGGAAGCCAGTCCTACAAACTAATACTACTACGCAGGAAACTAATTCAATAAACTGGCAAGAACCTACAAAGTACTAATAGGACCCAGTAAGCTAGTTGTAATACTTATTTTGTAATATTTCTTTAATTGGAACTCAACTGCAGCATTTCTTGGTTGCAACAACAATAAGGTTCACCTCCTTTTATATTGGTATGAAACAATGGTCACTGTACCTTTAAATATCCATGAAGGTAAATTAGGCTTTGTAGCAATCCCTTATGAGTAAGAGGAATAATTAGACAAAGTGACACTTTAGTGAGTTTTAGATACTGTGTAATATAAATAATAGGAATTGACTTGTTTGGTAAAAGTATTACTTAACTTAAAGGCAGTTCTGGTACTGGAAGGGTTAATTCACCCAATGAAGGAGAAATTAGAAGTCCGTTTCAACAAGCTGAGAACTAGGAGTGGAGAGTGGGGAAGTCTGTTTTAACAAGCCGAGGTCTGGGAGTGGAGAAGGTAGAATTCAGAGTTACAAGCCGAGGTCTAGGAGTGGAGAAGGTAGAAATCCGTTTACAAGCCGAGGTCGAGAAGTGGAGAAAGTAGAAATCCGTTTACTAGCCGAGGTATAGAAGTGGAGCAGGTAGAAATCCGTTTACAAGCCGAGGTCGAGAAGTGGAGAAGGTAGAAATCCGTTTACTAGCCGAGGTATAGAAGTGGAGCAGGTAGGATCAAAAGTAGAGCATCTGATCTTCATGCAGCACCTGTGCGAATAATCCAGCCCTTTGAATCTGGCGCGGTCCTCCTAAGTATCGTGGAGGGACCGCGTCAGAGAAAGGGGCGGGCTGAGCGCCGTGAACCCGGAAGTGGGTTCCGGCGATGAATGCCATGCTATACCTGACAGTACCCCCTTCCCATGGGGCATCCTCTGGGTGCACTATTTCGGTTTGGAGGGGTAGCGTTTGTGAAAGGCAGTAACTAACCTCCTAGCATGTACATTAGATGAATCTTCCCAAGTGTCTTCATCAACTCCATAACCTTTCCATCTGATAAGGTATTGTAAGGAGCCACGTTGGACACGAGAATCCAAAATTTTGTGAATTTCATATTCTTCTTCACCTTGGACAATGATAGGTTCAGGAGTTGTTACTATTTCTCTATAAAAAGGATCAGGGATGTGTGGTTTAAGCAAGGAGACATGGAATACTGGATGAAGTTTAAAACTTGGAGGAAGTTTTAGTTTAACAACGTTATCATTAATGATAGTAATTACTTGAAAGGGACCAAGAAAAAGAGAGCTCAATTTCTTTGAAGGACGGCTTGTGGTAATATTCCTTGAAGAGAGCCAGACAAGATCCCCTACCTTGTAAGGAGGGGGAATTCTTCTATTATTGTCAAAAAACTTTTTCTGGTTATTTTGGGCGAGTTGAAGATTCTCCCGTAATTTGAGAAATAGAGAAGACATAAATTCGTTTTTTGATGTAACAGTAGGATTGGATGAAGTAATGGCTTGGATGGGGAATGAAGACGGATGAAAACCATAGTTGGAGAAGAAAGGAGTCATTTTCGTACTAGAATGAATGGTATTATTGTAAGAAAATTCGGCCATAGGTAACCATGTGGTCCAGTCATCTTGGAGGAATGAACAATAACATCGAAGATATTGTTCCAAACATTGATTAACCCTTTCTGTTTGCCCATTAGTTTGGGGATGATAAGCGGAAGAGAGTTTGCGTTGAATTTGAAGGGAGAGACACATCTCTTTCCAGAATTTGGAGGTAAATTGTGTCCCCCTATCAGAAATAATTTCTTCAGGAAGACCATGAAGTTTCACAATATTGTCAATAAAGACCTTAGACAATTCTACAGAGGAGGGTAATTTTTTTAAAGAAATGAAATGGGACATTTTTGTGAAGCGATCCACAACGACAAGAATAGTGGTGAAATGTTGAGAAGGTGGAAGATCAACGATAAAATCCATAGAAATGGATTGCCAAGGTTTTTCTGGAATAGGTAAGTTAAGTAGTAATCCAAAAGGTTGATTATGTTCTGGTTTAGACCCTTGACAGATAGGACATGTTTTGACATATAATGCAATGGTTCTATCCTGGCGAGGCCACCAATAATATCGTGAAGTTAGTTCAAGTGTTTTCTTTATTCCAGGATGTCCAGCTAGGGGGGAATCATGAACCATCTTAAGTAATTTATTCCTAAGAATGGGAGGAATATAAATTCTATTTTTAAAATAAAATAGACCATCCTTTTTGTTAGTATAGGTGTTTTGGGAAGTTCAAGATCCTTCTGATTCAAATTCTTTATGTCATCATGAAGAGAAGAGAGGATTCCTATTATTTTGGTAGAAGGATAATCATCAGTAGTAGTTTTAGAAGGAATTCGAGAAAGAGCTTCAGCCTTTTTATTTCTATTTCCAGGTCTGTATATTAATTGGAAGTTAAATCGGTTAAAAAATAGGTTCCATCTAACTTGTCTAGCTGTAAGGGTTTTGTTAGTATAGAGATATTCAAGATTTTTATGGTCAGTATAAACTATTATAGGTTGTTTTGTATCTTCCAGAAGATGACGCCAATTTTCGAAGGCAGCTTTAACACTTAATAATTCTTTTTCACCAATAGGATAATTTTTTTCAGCAGAGCTCAAGGATCTTGAAAAAAAGGCAACTGGATGAAGTGGATCTTGTGGAGTCTTTTGTTGAGAAAGAACTGCTCCGATGGCTGCATCTGATGCATCAACTTCAAGAACATATAGGAATGTTGGATTAGGTAGTTGTAGAATAGGTGCAGTTGTAAATCTTTTTTTTAATTCGTCGAAGGCTGTTTGAGCATCTTTATTCCAATTAAAAGGACGTTTACTACTGTTGAGGAGGTTAAGAGGATGTGATACATCCGAATAGTTTCTAATAAATTTTCTATAGAAGTTTGCAAATCCAAGAAAACGTTGTAATTCTTTTGTAGTAGTAGGAGCAGGCCAATCAATAATACATTTGATTTTGGAATTATCCATCTTCAAAGAATGAGGTGAAATAATGTATCCTAGAAAAGAGAATTCAGTAAACTCAAAAAGGCATTTTTCTGGTTTAGCGTATAATTTATGAGTTCTCAGTCTAGATAGAACCCATCTAACATGTTTCCTATGTTCATCCAAATTGTTAGAATATATTAAGATATCATCTAAGTAGATAATAACACATACATCCAGAAGATCTCTAAAGATATCATTGATAAAATGTTGAAATGTTGCAGGGGCATTACAGAGCCCGAAAGGCATCACTAGATATTCGTAGAGACCATATCTTGTCCGGAAGGCGGTTTTCCATTCATCATCCTGTTTTATTCTAATGAGGTTATATGCGCCTCGAAGGTCGAGTTTAGTGAATATAGTTGCAGTTCTTAACCTTTCAATTAATTCATTTATTAGTGGAAGAGGATAACGATTTTTAATAGTTATTTTATTTAAGGCTCTGTAATCTATAATAGGACGGATGGTTTGGTCTTTATTCTTCACAAAGAAAATACTAGAAGCAGCAGGAGAGGTCGAGGGTCTGATGA